TGCAGTCTGCCACCACGTTTTCTGAGCCAATTATAATCATGTAGGAATTAAAATTTGACACCATGTATATTTTTCTACATCACCTAAAGAGAAGGCAAGTAAGTTTTTTATGCCATCTTGTTTGCCATGGGAGTTTTCCAAGATAATGTCACTCATTGACAAAATGTCTCTCAAGAAAATACTACATTTATTTAACCTTTTGTTTGCATTGTAGTTCAAGGACCATTTAAACAATCAATGGCAGCATCCACCAAGTCAAGGCTTTTTCCACAAAGCTGCCACATCTGTTTACCTTTTACAATGAACCAATTTCCAACAATTCACGTGTAAAAAATCTCTTTTCAAATGCACCTTCAGTCTTTTAAGCGTGCCTCACTTCTCATTAAGAAAAGAGAAAACATACTCTCTGTCTCTGTAACATACACAGAATATGAAAAGGATCCTTTATTCACAATCTAATTTAGTCTTGGCAGTGCTGTATCAACTACTCATACCTCTTAAGTTCTTGACCCTCCTGATAGGAGTTGCAAAACATTTAGAAATAAGCCTGAAGACAGAATTTCGACGTAAGGTTAAGAAGCATGAAAGATCCTCAGATCCATATCTCCACGTATTCTTCAAAATTAGAATGGAACTGGGAAAGTTCATGCCAGTGATAAACATGACCTTTGCCTTATGGCTGCGATAAAATTCATGGACTTGATCTGATGTTACCATCAGATAAATGGATAAGTTGCAACTGTGGGACCAGTGGATGCCGGATCACTGCGCAAGACCTAAACCAGTATTGACATAACCTTTACCTCTTGGGCAGAATAAAATTTGTAGACATGTTGAGACGTTATTGTCAGACAAATTAGGTAAGTCACAACAACAGCAGTAGTGGATGCTGGATCACTGTGTAGAAGGCCTAAGCCAACAACGGGTTCAACCTTTTTCTATTGGTCATTATAACATTCATAGCTTTAACATTACTCTCAGGCAAGTGAAATAAGTCACAACAGTAACAACAATGGTTACTGGATCACTGTGCCCAAGCCATGAGCCAGCCAACAACAGTCGCAAGCTTTGTCTGTTGGCTGTACTAAAATTCGTGAACTTGATTTAATATTACTATCAAATAGGTGAGATAAGTCACAACAACAATTTATCAAATCTGGAAAATATTAGTTTGAAAAAATAAAATCTTCTAGCTACATGTTGATCAAATAACTCCTGATATGGCTGTATGATGTTTCATTTATAAAATAATAGTTTGAAAATAATATATATACATGTAAGATGTAAAGTGCAACAAAAAACTATTAATATGGCAATAGTCCTTTTAATTTTGCTACATCCCCTTCCTGTCTTAAAACTAATAATATATGAATCTGAAGTGCATCATCTAAAAATTAATCTGCATCATGGCTTTGTGTAGGAGTAGCATTGCAGATATTTTTTAATCCAATCAGAGTTCAAACACCCATAATAATGATGTGTGATTGATGGATATGTGACAGTGATCTTGTTTTATATATATAATGTTAGAAATTTTGTATATATGTAAATAATTTTAGTGAAATTATATGTAAAACTGTGCTATCTGTTTTATAATGTAACATGAAATGCCTTGAGAACTGAAGCTGTGCCTTAAAAATAATATTGCACAGGCAGGTCCATTTAACGAGATAGCATCAAGCTGGTAGTGGTTTTGTTGACTAATATTTCTCACCAAATTTGGAGACCAGTAGGAGACTTTTTGGTCTGATCTCTGTGTACCTGTAATTGACCTGATCCCTATTCGTAATTATAACTATATCCGGCTCTATATAACTAATTGTGTATACCTTCCAGCAGTTTCGAGAAATCAGATGAACTGGAAATTTCTCAACAGTCAGGGGATATATATGTAAATAATTGTTATGAAAGTATATGTAAAATTATGCTTTGTTTTAGAATGTAACATGAAATGCCTTGAGAATTGAAACTGTGCCTAAAACCCTTATCACATACAATATTTGTTGCCGGAACAAAAGGTTTGGTGGAACAGTTCTGAGAAACGCTCTTTGGCGAAATAGGGTTACCACCTTCACTTGTAAACAGGCTGAAAGCCAAACAAGAATCACCTATCGCTCAGATTGGCGAAAGTGACATTTCCTTTCAAGTGACGTTTGCTTCTTTGTGTTGTTTTGTATCGCTCACACTCTTTTCGTTTTAAACTTTATTGTTAGTAATGGAAGATAATAGAAATGTGATTGCTATCAAGTTAATCACTTTGATCTCCACTCTGACACTTCAAGTAACAGATAAACACACTTCTGGTTATAGCAATCAATTACATCAGTTATAGCCAAATTCTGTATACACTAAGACTAGTTTAAAAATGTGTGCTGGGTAAGTCTATTTATCAAACATCACTTATGTGTATTTTCTGTTGTCTGCATTTCAATGAAAATTTGATGGCTCACTGGAAGATTTGTGACCTGGTGAAAGCATTTTCTTGACTAACTTTATGGCTCATAATTACTGTTTTGTCCATTCAAACAAAGAAAAAAAAACCTTCTATGACCCAAAAAATCTATATGGCTGATATTTAAATCCTCACAGCCAGCAGATACTATTCAGCAAAATGAAGATCAAATAAAGCATATGAATACATGAGCAATCAACCATGTGCGAGTTGTTTACTGTCCCATAGAACACTCGGTAATATACCTAATACACATTAATTATACCAACTCTAGAAATAGTTGTGCACATCATGAGTTTGTTTTATATGATTACGGCAAAGCCTCAAGGGATATCTGCCTAACAGGAGGGATCCCTTTGTAGAAGATTTTTTTAACTGGCTCGTATACCAGTTACAAATGGGGAAAACCAAGAAAACACCCATGTAGCCAGACCATTCGCGCATTCTAACCTGAGACAGAACTACCAGTGTTCAACGACGCTTCGGCCACTAGTAGGCCCGTGCACTTAAATGGAAAGTACAATTCATTATGTAAACAGATATGAAGGTGATAATCAGTTGTGCACTCTTTTAAGTAATCAAATGGTATTAATGCACGGCTGTTACATTTCTTATTATTTATTAGTCATGTTTATATTACGTAGATCATACATATGATATTACTATGAATTAACCCAATAACAAAATGTGTATACTCTTTAGTACTGAAATGCTCATCAATTATTTTTCAACTGATTATTACATATCCATAGTAATTTGCAAAGAACTGATGACTACAGTTTCTGCCAATTACATGATCGTTATATGAATTAAAAGTAACTTCAAATAAACTTTTTGGCAATGTTCATTTTTGTATTCATACATATATATACACACATCTAATAAGTCATATATTTACATACAGATAGAGAGATGCGATGTTTTAGAAGTTGTTAATATATATTTATTAGCATTAATGTAATGAATAAGATTTATATTAATGAATGTATTTATAAATATTTTTCATCATGAATAATAATAAATTCATAAATTTCCAATGTTTCAATATGTAGCATTTACAATAAAAGTATAGTTTCTAATGTATTTATAATCCAAAAAGTATTTCATTAATAACATGGAAATAATAGACAAATTTAATGAGTATTCTCATTATTACATAAGCTATGTTTTTTTTTTATGCATCTTTTATGCTGTTTAAAATGTGTCACTGATTATGCAATTAACAATTTAAAAGATAAGTAATTAGGAGAAAAGCTGTGCATATACAAACGGATTTTAAAAAATTATTCAACTTAAATTTAAGAAATAAAATTCTATTATATAAGTGATAATACACGATGAGCACAAAGTACGACAAATTTGGCGAACGTTTAGCGATGAACAATTTGTAAACAAATCTGAACTGCAAGAACGTCGTAAAATACTGTGAACTCTGAAATTTTCACGATTATATATTTAATGAATATATAAACATTTTAAAAGATGACTCAAGCAGTTATATTATTACAACAAAACAGCAATAATTAAATCGGCCTCTATTCCCACCGTCCACACTTCACAGCCGTATTGAAAATTGCCCGTGATCCTTCAGAAGCAGAACTTTCGTCTGATTGGTTGAACGTTCGAGGAACACGTTTCCAGCCGGAACATTTTCGGGAAAGTTTTAAAATGTTGCTCGTAGCCGGGACATGTTCCTCCTAGCTAGACGAAACATTTCTCGGAAGCCTCCCGCTTAAAGCAGTCCTACTAGAATCTCGTTTCTTGGAATTGTCCCGGGTAAGCGCGCGCGTCCCTAGAAGTGATAGCCTCTTTAAAAATAATATTGCATGGTCAGATCCATTTCATGAGATTGCGCCAAGCTGGCATTGGTTTTGGCGACTAATTTGGAGACCATTAGGTGACTTTTTAGTCTGATTCCTGTATACCTGTGATTGACCTGATCCCTATTTGTAATTATAACTATATCCGGCTCTATATAATTTTAACTGCATGTATTCCAGCAATTTTGAGAAATTGAATGTACTAGAAATTTCTCAGCAGTCAGTGGAAAACTATATAAGACCACAGAGAGCATCAGTTCTCAGTCTCTAGTTCAGAAAATTCAGAGATCTCCGTGCAAACTTCGCTCATGTATTGCATTGTGTTTAACATTCTTAGCAGTTTGAAGTGGTGATTACCGATTATGCCCTTATACTGAGAAGTTCAAGTATTTTCATAAAAAGTTCCAGAACTATAAAGTGTCTCTTTTGGAAAAATAAATTTTATCAAGCTATCATCGGCTCTGTGTACATTCAGTCTATTGTGAACATACACTCACTTACATATATAAGCAATTTATAAATTCAACTTGCATAACTCCATGGGTGGGGAATTATTGTCTTCAGTATGCTATTAGTTTGATTTCATTTGCATCCCTAAACTTAATTTTGTCTAAAATCTAAAATAATGTATATTTTATAAGTATGTAATGATTAAGAATGAAAGTATAAACTTTTTGTTTTCTTTAAATCTGTAACAGTTAATTTAAAGAATATTTTATTGTATCTAGAAACTGAATTTGAAGGCATGAGAAAAAGTCAGTTGGTGAATTGGTATTTGAAGGAGATAGAGAGTGAAATAGAATCTGAAGCAGATCTTATAAAAAAGAAGCTTCTGGTGGAAAGAGTTGTTGATCGATTAATACATCATGTAAGTATTTTAAGAGAGAATAATTTTTTATGGAGAAAACTCTGAAAATTATTATTTAGTCAAAATGGTTATATTTTTTTAAATATAATATTTGTTATTCAGTAAAAAATAGTAAAGTTCCTGTTTAAAAACATTACCTACATTTTAAAATAATTTAGATGCATATATACTATATATATGTATATATTGGTAGATCCAAAAGTAAAACAAAAATAAGGTGTAGCAAGGTATGGCTTTCTTAAAAACGCCCAGGAAGACGTGGCATTTTTTTAAATAATTATATTATATTGCTAGAATAATTACATTATCACCAATAGGTGATGCTGTAGTAGTCCCAGAGAACTGGAATTTCGGATGGAACTCTGGCAATCACATTCTCAAGAATATCCTTGGAAAATCCAACGGATACAAGAATGGGAAAATCAGCTGATTTCAGATAATGAATTTGCAAATAGACTTTTCAGTTGATGAAAAGCAATGTGGACTGGCTGTTGACCGATAAGGTGCACTTTTTTCTTCAGAGAAGTGTAAATGCACACAATTACAAAATTTAGGCAAGACAGAATCCACATGGGATTGTAGAAACTCCTTTATATCATCCAAAGAAGACAGCTCCTCTGCACTGCTCATTATAAGACCTTTTTTCTTTGAGAAAATCCACAGTGATATATTTCAATCTTTTTATCAATTCATCTATGTCACTAATCGATGAAAAATATAGCTATTCTGGTATAAGTTTTCCTTGCTGGAAAAAATTTTGTTGTCTGTGCGTTTCTGCGAAAATCAAATTGTGCTACTGTTTATACTTTTCGAATTACTGATTTTTATTTTATTTCTGTTACTTGTGGATTATCCATTGCCTTTCATTCGTTTAACTGTGATGAGAAAAATAAACAAGATTTTTATAAAAATTATTAATTATTTCATTTTCTTTTCTAGTTTGTCAGTTATTTGTATTTAATTTGATACTAATTCAATATGTTTGATCAAGAAATTGTTCAGTTTGGTCAAGTTGAATTCCTTGCACCTCATAAAATTAATCTGATGTGGGTGCAAATGTAATGAATAATGAAATATTACCAGAGTGTTATATTATTTTTATTAATAAAGACATTATTATAATAATATGATGGTTATTAAAATGGATTATGGTTGCACAATGAAAATATAATAAAACATAAATAAAGGGTGTTTTCACCTGCTTTGGTGATTATAATCAATATTATAATAATATTTCTAATTATTTAAGTTGATACTTTGTTATGTAAATTTACTCTGTCCATGATGTCAACATGATTGTTTTCCCTAATTATATTAAGGTATATTGTATATACTTACGTATATAAATTTTTCAGGATCAAGTCATAATACCTTTAACAAAATCAAGCTTCACAGCTGAAGAACAAGATGAAAATGATCCAATATTAGTGGTTCATCCAAATTATGGAGCACTTGAAGTTTAAGTCATCTCATTTCATTGCAGATAAAAAAATATAATAAAAATAAGATAAGAAATACTGAGCCTATTAAGACATTAAAAAATTAAATTTTACTTTAAATAGAGTTAAAATTGGACTTCCATTCTCCATCTTTGTTCAAAAGTAAATAAGATAATTGTGTAATGTTTCTTGTACATATGCTTATTTTTGTATTTCTCAAATGATCTTATATAACAAACTTTTTTATTTTAATTCTTATATTAGGTATACATCACACTTTTGTTCTTTCAAATGGTACATTAAATGGACTGTTTGAAATCCATAATTTTGTAATTACAGAAAAGAATAATTTTCTGTAAAATCCATAATTTTGAAAAAAAAAGAAATACACTATGTTGTACTGCGTAAATTGTGTAAGAACCATTATTTTGGATTAGTGCCTTAGATATTTACTTTTGTATTTTATATGTAAATAAAATCATGTTACATTACAGACAAATGATAAATGTGTATTTTTTTAACAATTTTTCATAAACTGAATAAAATTCATACTTAATTTTTATTGTATTAAAGATAATTTTTTTAGAACTTTTTGTTCTCTTTTTCTCTCTCTCTGTGTGTATATATATATATGTAAGGGCAATCCCAAAAATAAGGTCTCCTATTTTGGGGGGGAAATAGTGAAACTTTTAGTATGATTATTGGCAACAGTGCTGTGAGTGGTGTTTCCTACACTCACAGGTAAACATGCATCGGTTGCGGACACTTAACCGACACCAGTTAGCCGACAGGGACACTTAGCTGACACGGACACTTAACCGACAGGACATTTTGCCGACACAGAGAATTAGCCATCAGGACATTTAGCTATGGAACACTTAACTGTCAACATATTTAGTCAAAAGGACACTAAGCCAACAGTGACGTTTAGCTGACACAAGGCCAACTTGTACTCAAGGCCTGCCAGTCTAAACAAAATTCCGGTTCCCAGTTTTCAGTGGCTTACTCGAAACTCATCACTAGATGGCGCTCTCATTCTGCTACACTTTTGCTATACATTCTCTATTTGTAGCATGGCTCGTTATTAACTAAAAGTATATTTTATTAAAACATGCTGCTGTAACTAATAGTAACATAGGATGGTAAAATTGTTGCGTGCCATACTGTAAAGTTTTCTTCCTTTTAAAAAAAATTTTATGATTGTATTTCAATAATTATTGGCAACATATAACTTTTGGATGGATAGCATTTCCATCAGTTTCATGGAATACAGATTTAATACAAATACATAATACAAAATTTCTTAAACAAGAGTCATCATCACGTAAAATTTCAAAGCTCTTTTGATATGTTTCTTTCTCTCAGCTTTCGTATATAAACAAGCTTCTTAATATATGTGTGTGTACAAGCTTCATGTCATTTTTTTGTCTTCGTGAAATAAAAATATAATTTTTTTTTATTGTCTCTCAAGACAATCTCTGTTTTCTGCATAAATGCTATTTTAACCTATATATATGAATTTAATGCAATTAAAATTTAAGAATGCATCCACGTATATATTTTATAAGAAATGCTAATTGCGTTAGCATTTTAACGAAATGTATTACTTTTTAGCTCTCGTATTTGTTATCTTTGATCCAGAAACATTTGAATGCTGTCTGTACTAGCTTCAAAATTTTAAAGTGCATATCTCATATTAATTAGTGGGATGTATCAATATGTTGTGCATGAATTTGTGTCTACCTCGTTGAGTGTTTTGTGGTTGCACTTGAAGTAATAGAGATTTATGTCGAATCCATATACATATGTAATTAATGGAGGTAATATGTTTTGTTTTAGGGAATATGGCTTTATTTTTTAAAATATGCTGTCAATGATATTGAAATACTTGGTATTCAACACTATCAGTCTCAAAATTTTGTTTTCCCTCCGTCCCAAACTAGTTGCTACACTTAGGTCGAAAGTTTTGTCCCAAATTAGTTGCTACATTTCAAGTAGGTGAAGTCATAAATAACTTTTGATGTAGTTTAGTAGATCGACATCAGTAAAATTATACAATGTACTACAGGGAATGTAACACTGCGTACTAGGTTTTCATTCGCAGTTTTTTACTTTCCACAAATGTAACACTTATTTTGGGACAATTTTAACGACACAAATTTAAAGGGTTCGCACGCTCTTAAGCCACGCCCCATTTTGTAAGGTCTATACCGCCCACTTTTCAGAAAGATCGTGTTTATGTGATTAAGGCACAGCCTCGAGGGTTGTCTGCCTAAGGTGAGGGAAAAGAATTTCTAAGGCGAACTGGCTTGTATAGACGAGACAGATCATTTAATTTATATTTAATTACCCTGAAGATTTTAAGCGATTACTGATGGACGAGTCCTTACAAAACGGGGCGTGGCTTAATGGTGTGCAAAAGCTGGATTTTTTAAACTAATTTAGTACTGATTTAAGGAGGGAATGCTTTGTAAGTAAAGTTGTTGTTGACTGATAACGTAGCACCCTGAAATTTCTGGAAAATGTGCAAACAAAATCAAAATCTTCATTATCAATAATCAGTACTCAAATGTAGCAACTAATTTAGAACAGAGGGAGCATTGTGATTAATGTCAGTCAGTCATTGCGATTAATGTCATGTGTGTCATTATTATATGCTGTCGATGATATTGAAATACTTGGTATTATTTTGAATATCTGTAGTGTTGCTTTACTCTTCAGATCTCTAAATCTATGTATTAACAAGTTTTAGATCGTCATTTATTAATTTCTTAATTGCATATTTAATAGTGGCTCCAAATTATTTTGTTGCACAGGACAACTGATATTAATACGATGAAAATTTTGTGCTGAAATAGTTTATGTTCTGAAGCTACCTGCTAACTTCGTACTGTATAAATAATTTAAAAGTAAAACATGCACTCTAAATTACCTTAAATTAGAATAGGTAACTCTAATAAGTACAATTAAAAATAGCGTATATCTAGATGCAAGCAGGAATTAAAATCAGAATCAAGAAGCTGACGAAGAAAAGAAAAATGGGATAACTTGAAATTTCATGCTTTCTTTCTAAATAAAAATATTTTTATTAAAAAGAGATGTATAATTTCTGGGTAAAGTGCAGAATCGCCCACTTATTTGTTTGACGCTTTTTACAGGAGTAAAAAGAATTGGATTTTTGTCAATTTTCTTTGACTTTTTAAATGAAAATGGGTCGATGTGTGCATGGATAAAGTCAAGAGAGTGCGCAATGCCATTTTTGTGCAATTCTGGGTTTTTTTTTAAGTGAAAAATAGGTCGATGTGTACATGCATACCGAGTATGTGCAATTCTTAAAAACGTGCCAAGCAGTGGGTGATTTCTGCACTTTCCCCGAATTTCTGACTACTACAGATTAATCGTTTTTAAATTTTACATATAACAAGACAATGATTTGTCTCGGGTACCATTCTGCTTATTGTTAACGTCGCAAAGCATAGCGGAATAGTACCGCCATCTTGCGGTCAGTAGAAAATTCACGGAGGCCACCGAAAACACAAAAGAATATTTTCACACTGGCAGGCCTTGAGTATAAGTTGGCCTTGGTTATCCAAATAGAAAATATTATGTACTATGTTTTGAAAGTCATGATGTATAATTTTCAATATATTATGTTATATTAATGTTTTCTTATAAAATATAACTTTTTGCAATATCTGTTAAAAATGTATAAATTTTCTTCTCATTTTTCATTAATTTTATTTATTTTTTTTTTCCTCTTGCATTCCTTCTCTTTCTCGTTTTTGGTTTAGTTTTATGGATAATTTTTGAAGATCATATTAAAATGTAATTAAGTGACCGCCATACTTAGCTTTTCCTTTCGAAATGTAATTTATATTCCCTGACAAGAAATTCCAGCGCTTTTTCAAGTTGGCCAATGTACACCTAACAGCAAGATACATATCAAACAATGCTAATTAATTAATTAATTAGCATTAATAGCACATATGAGATCTTTAAGAATCGAAAAATGAATTTTACTGATACGTGAAAAAAAATGACTTTGTGGTGATATTGAACTTATGGAGTAGTCGAGAAATTTTGTAATTGATAGTTTAAATAATTTTTAGGTACATGTCAGTTAAAAACGTCACTGTCGGCTTGTTGACTAAATGTCTTGACAGTTAAGTGTGCTGTAGCTAAATGTCCTGACAGCTAACTGTGTCGGCCAAATGTCCTGTCGGCTAACTGTCTGTGTTGGTTAAATGTCTTGTCGGCTAAATGTCCTGCCGGCTAATTGTCCGTGTCGGCTAACTGTCCGTGTCGGCTAAATGACCTGTCGGCTAACTGTTCGTGTTGGCTAAATGTCCTGTCGGCTAAGTGTCCGTGTCAGATAAATGTCCTGTCGGCTAACTGGTGTCAGTTAAATGTCATGGACCCAACATGCATGCCCAGCACTGGAATGCTCAATATTGACACTCCCATTGTGTGCTGCCAAGTGCAAAGTTTGCACAGTTATTTTCTTCTTGAACACAAAAGGCATTCATGTGGTTGAAATTCGTCTCCAGTTGATGGAAATGTATGGACAGACATGCATGGATGTCAAAAATACTTGCAAGTAGGGCAGAAAATTTACAGCCGGTCAAATCGAAATTCATGACCAAGAAAGGAGCGGTATAATTATCAATTTCCAATTAGATAGTCACGAAGGTTGAGGAAAACATGTTTAAAGATCGGGAGGATTGGTCTGGATGCACTCAGTATGGTTATTCCTGAGGTTTCCTGAAGTACCATCCTCAGGATTCTAATGAAAAAGTTGCAGTATTGGAAGGTTTGTGTAAGATGGGCATCACTTACGCTGCCAGAAGACCACAAATGGCAACGAGTTGATTCTTTCCGTGAATTTCGTTGCCGCTATGCAGATGAAAAAGGCAACTCGTTTATCACAGGTGATGAAACCTGACATTCCACTTTACACCTGAAACCAGACAACAATCACATAAGTGACTGCATCTTTTTTCACCCAAGCCACAAAAATTGAGACATAGTCTGCCGGTAATGTCATGACATCTGTGTTTTGGGACCAGAAGGGGGTATTGTTGGCTAACTTTCAGCCTGCTTGGACCACAACAAATGCTGACAGGTACTGTGAAACACTGAAGAAACTCAGAATGGCAATTCAGGACTAGACAAAGGAATTTTGAGCAAGGTCATATGATGCTCCACAACAATGCCTGCCTGCACATCACCCATGAAACAATTTCTTGCAAAACTTTGGTTGGAACGTCATCCACCATATAGTTTAGAATTAGCACCCAGCGACTACCACCTGTTCCCTAGGTTGAAAGACCAATTATTTGGACGGCAGTTCTGCTCTGATGATCAGGTGAAAGATGAAGTTCAATATTTCCTGAAGGGCATGGTTGTGAGCTGGTATGACGTGGAAATTGTAAAACTGCCACAGTATATACAAAAATGTATTGATCTAAATGACAATTATGCAAAGAAAAATAAGAAGTTCTT